CACGAGGTAGGCAGAGACTAGAAGGTGGAAAATTACTTCCAGGGGAAATTTGTTTGATTGGTTGCATAGTGTCCCTGCCCTGTCAGCATGTCAAAAGTCCATTCTTGCTGTTCTGGTGTCAAAGATATAGCATTGGCCCTGGCTTGTTCTTGAGCTGCTTCATGCCAAAGGGCCTTCCATTCCATAAACTGGCCCATGCTGTTAAGCGTGGCCTTGGCTATTGTTTGCCAATCAGTAGGTGTCATGGAGTCTCTCGCCAGCCTGTCCAATTGTGCCAATGTGAAATTGGCGGTGACGCCATACTTTCTGACTGACTCTGCTAATTCTTTATTTGGTTATATTCCACGGGTGCGTATACCCGCCCGTTCTCTAGGCCTTCAAAGACAGGGAAGGCCGAACGTAACTTCCTCTGCACTTTATCAGATAGGAGGGAAAAAGATCCTCGGCGGACCTCATATGGAGGGGACGCTGAGGGGGCCACTTGTGAAGCGGCCATCACAGAATGTGAATGTTTTTGGTGTCTCTTGTTGCCTTGTACATGATCATCTGGATGATATCTTTCTTCCTCATACTTCGCTACTTCCTCATCTAGCTCCGCCTCCTCCTCCGGGTCAAGGCTCTCGTCCTCAGAGCTCCCGGGGCTTCCTGAACTACTTAATTGCAGAGCCTTTAGTTCTCGGACGGGGTATATACTAGTCCCTTTGTCCGGCCTCTCGACAGGCAAAGAATCTCTAGGCTCTTTAAAATACGCTCCCTTGTCAACAGACCTTCCGGGAGGGCCATTTTCCTTATTTGGGGCCCGTTTCTTTTTTCGTGCACCTAACCTCTCACTGCGTTCAGTTTCTGACATGCTATCCTGGACTTCCTCAAGAACATTTCGACTTTCCGCCACAACGGCCTGGCATGTTTTATACAACAAAACTATAAGTGCTCCCAGAATGATAACCAAGGCCTCAAAGCTACCTTTCCAAGGTGGAAACAGGTTCAAGCCAAAGTCCAGAAAAAACATACCTCTCTGAACGTCCTTACCTGCAGTTCTGAATCCTCCTTGAACTCAAGGGGTCTCCGATGGTGCTGATGATGGTTTGGTCGAATTCCCGGGTCTCAGCACCAGTTGTCCTGCGCTATCGTCTCGCCAGCAAGAACGACGCGGCACACTCAGGATCCTTCTGCAGAAAAGCTTTAATGCATCTTGAGAGGGAGAGCATAAGCTTACAGGGCGAAGACCCCGAATGTCGGACACCCAGCCCTTATATAGGTTAGTAAGCCCGTCTTGGACGTGGCAACTCTTGATTGGTCGCAAACTCATCAGCCCATATCACGCCACGAGGTAGGCAGAGACTAGAAGGTGGAAAATTTCTTCGGGCATGCATACTGACTTATTTACTGCTCAGCATGAACCGGATGTGAGCGCCATCTTGTAATGGCGTCTGCAGGGACGGCAGGCGGCTCCCCACAATTTTCCAAGTGTGTTTCCTGGGTGGATATGAACTGCAGTGACTAGCATTCTTCTAAGACAGAGGCAGGGCAGTGCTGCAGAGGGCCAGAAAAGGACACACAGAAGAGAGAAGGTGGTGTAGCAGTGGAGATAGCGGATGACTGACACTGCCATAAGCCAGGGAATGCAGCCTCTGTCAGAACCTAAGGCAAGGGACTGGTTTCCCTCTACAGCCTCTATTGAAAGCATGTTTGTCCAAGATCTCAGCTCAGTGTCATTGATTTTTAGGCTTCTATCCTGAAATAAATAGAATAAATCTGTTTTTAGCCACCAAGTCTATAATATTTTGTTACAGCAGACATTGGAAAGCAATACACTTGTCTCACGACATGCAGTGCACTTCCGCGTGAGCATGCACTCATACCCCTCCCTTCAGTGGTTACCTGTGCATCACTCTTTACATTTTAAAATATCCTGTTTATTTATGGTAGTCCATTCCCAAAGCAGCTTCCTTAACTCTTCAATGACAGTTATTAACCTTAATCTCTGTTTCATAATTGATATGTCCCAAGTGACTAGAACAGTTCCTCATAGACTAAGTGTTCAACATATCCATGCAGACTACTTCAATCCTATCACATATTGCCATTGTTGAATCATTGTTACTTCTACCAGCAGATTTAAATTATTTGTGACAAGGGACAGGGTAATGATTTGTTAATTATCCTAAATGGCAATATTTTAAAGGTAAGATTCAATAAATACACCATTAAAAGGTGACAATTAAGTGATTTTGGTACATTCACAATATTGTGCAACAATTGCCTCTATTTACCTTTAGAATAGCTTTTCTTCCACCCTTCAACCAACTCTTCTCAATTAATTCTTCATGATTCTAGCTCCTAACCACCACCAATTTGATTTTCAGGCTCTGTGGACATGACTATCCAGGACATTTTATATAAATGGAGTTGCACAATATGTGACCATTTGTGTGTAGATTTGAATTACTTTTGAAGTGTTTTTTCATTTCACCCTAAAGAGAATCTTTTAGAATTTCTTGTAAAGCAGGTCTACTAATATCAAACTCATGCTCTTATTAGTTATCTGGTGATATCTTTGATCATTTTTTTTTGAGACAGGGTCTCCTTGTAGCCACAGCTGGTCTAGAACTCACTGTGTAGACCAGGCGGGCCTCGATCTCACAGAGATCCACCTGTCTTTGCCTCCAGAGTGCTGAGATTAAAGGCATACACCACTTAAGTGATGTCTATTGGTGAATGAATCAAGAAAATGTGATATGTGTATTAGTATTCATATATATCTATGAATACTATTTTGCCATAAAAAGCATTGGAACCCTGTTGTTTGTGACAATGTGGACAGAAATGGAGTTAATCAAGTGAAACAAGCAAGGCACAGAAAGACAAGAACTATATGATCCTATCCACATATAGAATAAAAAATTATTATTACAGAAGTCAAGAGTAGAATTGTGATTCTCAAGACTGGGGGAGCAGTGGGGAGGGATGGAAGGGAATATTGAATTAATGGTTACTAAGTTAAGGTTAGATAGGACTAAGAAATTTTGGTGTCTTATGGTGTAGTAAGTCAGGCATCTACGGATATTCCTAAAAGCTAAAAGAAAGGATTTTGAAAGCTTTCAACATTAATTGCACAATATATACATGTATTGGAAAGATTCTGTGGTACACCATTAATATATACAATGTTGTGTTTTATGCAGTAATTAAAATAAATTTAAACTTAAAAGATAAATTAACTGCATAGTTTTATGATATAATACATTACAGAGCTTGCAAAGCAAGATGTTTAGATTACTCTGTATCTGGTCTGTGTCAGGAGCTTTTGAGTCTACTTCCTATAGAAATTTAAGTAGGTTTTGCCCACATTTCCCATTGATCCAGGTTCCTGGTGACTTTACACATCCCATAGTCATAGCTGGCCTCTATCCCAAGGGTCCCAGGAAAGGGAGCACTACTCAGCACCCCCTCTAACCATCTATTCTGAAGAGTCAGCTGCTCAGAGCTCCAACACCTTAGCCCATCAGAAAGCGCTTGCATAATTTTCTTGGAAGTGACATCGTATTGGGAAAGCAGTAATGAAAATGTCACGTCTGTTCCTTCACACACTAAGCAGAGAGCTGTGACACGCTGCCTACTGTGTGTACTTCACAGCTCCAGCTCAAAGACAGTGTTCCAGAGGCTCTGCAGGGCAGAGCTATTCTGTATGCCAACCTCCCCGCTCCTCTAGTTTACTTTAGCACTGCTATTAACAATGGCATTTTGGGCGCACAAACTTGACTCATTAGGCCTTAAGATATATGACAGAATGAATGAAATTTGGTGGGGGGGGTGCAGATAGGAGAGGCGGTCTCAATATTAAGATGTATGAGATGCACAAAAATTCAATAAAATATACATATTGTAAAAAATGGCACTTTGTTGAGAATAGAAAAACTTACATAATTGTTAAAAAGAGCAGACTGTCCAAAATGCAATGGACAATAATGAATATTTTTTCCCACTAAAGAGTGTATTGTATACTATGAATAATGGCATTTAATTTTCTAGCAATAGCTATTATATTATCACGCAGTTCACCATAAAATTGGTTCTATTGTTGTTTATGAAAAAGTTCATATAAACATCTTTAAACATAGCTGGCATACAATGTCACTTCCAAGAAAATCATGGCCATCTTTCATGTGGTCATTTTCTAAAGAAAATATACTTTCTTTTTTTAGTTTTTAATTTTTTATTGAGGTTTTGTTCATTCATACAATAAATCTTAATCATTCCCCACAATAGCTCCCACCATCAAATTTCAGGCACTCTGTTATACATGTTAAAACCTATCTGGTCAAACTTTTGTAACCAAATGTCCCTTGGTGCAAGTTCTTCTACTGGGGTCTAGTCAGCCTATCTAGAGTCACTCCCTTAAAGAAGATCAACTCTCCCCACCTAGCAGTGATCAGTTGCCAGTAGTTTCTCAGCTAAAGTTGGGGCTTGCTGCCCATTTCCCCAGTTCTATGCTGGATTTTTGTCTGATTGAGTTAGATGGGTCTTGTGCGTGCTGTCACTACTGCTGCCAAGTTCAAATGACCAAGTTCTCAGATCATGTTTTATTTTATAACTAAATTATAACATTTTGAGGAAAAGTGTCCTGTGTTTGTTAAATTACAATATCTCCCCCAGTGTTCATTATGAAGAGCTGAGATCATAGCATGGTTTCTATGTGTTGTCAAATGGCTGACAGCAGTACTGGAATGTTGGAACATGGCAAAATCTTCAGAATGTTTCATTACACAGCACTCATATTATTTGTTTGCTCATCAAAATGATAATATAATATTAAACAGAAAGGGAAAGCTGTCTCTCCATCATCAGATTGTCACCATGGATGTTGACTAGACCTCTTTGTGGGAGACATTAATTCTTCTGTATGATCCATAGACTGTGAAGGTGGGTTGTTAATGCATAGCATGCTGTCAAGCTCCCTCACTGAAGCTGAGCTGTGTCATGTCTTTGCTTAATTCTAGGTTTGTATCTTCCTACCAGTGGAAAGGTGTTTGTTAGTGGATATGACATTTCATCTGACATGGTTCAAGTTAGGAAAAGCTTGGGCCTCTGTCCCCAGGATGACCTATTGTTTCCGATGTTGACAGCATGGGAACATCTTTATTTCTACTGTGTGGTAAGCTAGTACTCCATATGCTTCTTTTTACATACTTCAGGGCCAATATCCTCACCTTCAGTGAAAGTTCATTTTTAGAGGTATTGTTTTATCACAGAGGGAGGCAAAAAGAAGTGCAAGTATGTCTAGATAGCTATGTTTTTTTTAATTTCTTTTTCAATATGTATTTTTATTGAATTTTTGTGCATTTAATACATTGTAATCATATTTTGATTCCCTCCCCTATCTGCAATCCCCATAGCTGCCCCCAAATGGATTTCATGCATTCTGTCATATATGTTAAGGCTTAGTGAGTCTAGTGTATGTCCCAAGATGTTCCTCAGTGTGAGTTCATCCCCTGGAGCCTGGTCAGCCTGTCTAGTGTCACTCCCTTAAAGAAGACCAACTCTCCCTCACTCCGCAGTGATCAGCTGCCAATAGTTCCTCAGTTAAGGTTGGGGCTTCTCTCTATGATGGGTTTTTGTCTGACTTGAGTTTGCATGGGCCTTGTGCATGTTGTCACCATTGCTATAAGTTCATATGAGCAAGTTCCCAGAAGCCTGGAAAACTGTTTCCTTGTGGTCCACCACCCCTGGGTTTTACAGTCTTTCTGCCCCCTCTTCCACAATGGTACCTGAGCCCTGGGTGGCTGAGGTTTAATATAGGAGTCCTATCCAGGGACACATACTCTGAAATCTCTTATTCTGTAAATTTCGTCCAGTTGTGGTTTTCTGTGTTCATTGCCCTCTGTTACATGAGGAAGTTTCATTGATTAGAGTTGAGAGATGTATTAGTATTCTCTCTACTCTCTGTTCCACTAAGTTCCCTGAGCCTTAGGTGTAGAGGTTCCATCGCAGATGTGTCACTTAAGTCTGGGCATCTCACAGACAGTTATTCACTGTGTTTGACCAGTCATGGAACTCTGTAATAGTCTCCATCTGTTGCAAAAAGAAGCTTCTTTATGACTAGTGACAGGTATACCTGTCTGTAAACTCACAGATACATATTTAGCACACAGTAAGCAATTATTTTTGTCTAAGGATGTGACAGATACAGATTTTTCTTTAGGATCTATGACATCTCCAGTCATGTGTACTTGGCTGTGTTTACACTACCACATGTGAGTTCCCTCCCACTGACTGGGCCTTAAGATCAATTAGATACTTGTTGATTATCCCGCAGATAGAAGTGCCACTACGTCATCAATAGAAATAGTTTGCTATGCTGTTCATTGTTGTGATTATTAGGCTTTACAGCTGGTTTGGACCATTTATTGCTTTTCTCCCTTAGAAGCTTGCATAAAATATCCTCTGAAAATGTGAGAGCTAGCCTTCAGGAGAGGTGGCTTCCAGGTCAGTTCCAGCTCCATTGCTCCAAGTCCTGTGTCCGGAGTATGTCCTGTCTTCAACAAGAGGGTCTTACCTTTGAGTTTGGGAAGGAAATCAGGGCTGTGGCAATAGTCTGGGTTATTTTGAGAGTTTCTTGGACTACCCTGACCAACAACTTGAAGGGAGGTTTCTTCTGTCTCATACTGTTTCTTGTTATATAGCTATACACAGGTACTCATATAGATGTATGTATAGTTTTCAGTAGGCCTTTGAACTAATATAGTTCCCTTTGGTTTTTCCACACCACATATGCATATGCATATTATTAATCTCTCCTCTCTCTCCCCATGTATAGTCCTCCCTCCTCCCTCCCTAAAGTACCCCCATTTGTCCATTTCCTCCTTGATAATACGTGTCTCATATTATCTCCCCTCGCTTCAGCTCCTTCTTCCCCTTTACCCTTCAGAGGGGCTGAACTATGTCATCTTTTCTCTCTCCCAAAGAGGAAGCTTTAATAGCAAATTTACTGAATGCTAGAAGTAAAGAACATTGCTGGGTGCCTTTGCCTTGTCAGTGCTTAGAAATTGGCATTCCTACAGTATGTGAATTGGTCACACAAAATTCATACCTTAGTACATTGGTTATTGGTAGGGTTGTCCTTTAAAAATGGAGCTTAAAAGGATAATTAGGAGCTGGGGAGGTGGTTCAGTGAGTAAAGCAGTTGTCATGTGTGATGGCTAATCTTGGTTGTCAGCCTGATCTATCTAGAAGGAAGGACCCTAAACTGAGCATGTCTGTGGGGCATTTTCTTGATTGCTAATTGATGTGGAAGGTCCTAGCCACTGTGAGCAGTGCCTCCTCTGGGCAGGTGGGCCTGCTGTATAGGAAAGATAGCTGAGCATAAGCCTGGGCATAAGCAGCATTTCTCAATGCTCTCTGCTTCAGTTTCTGCTTCAGGTTCCTGCCTTTAGTCCCTGCCTTAACTTCCCCTGATGATGGACTGTTAACTCTAAGATGAGGTAAACCCTTTCCTCCCCAAGTTGCTTTTGGTCACATTTATCATAACAGAGAAGCAAACTGTAGCACCATGCAAGTGTCAGTACTAGCATTTGGATGCTCAGCATCCATGCAAATCTAAATGTTGGGTGGGTGTGGCAGCCCATCTGTAATCTCAGTTCAAGGGAGGCTGAGACAGGTCATTCCTGGAGTTAGCTGGCTAGATAGATTGGCTGAATTGGCAAACTCTGGGCTCAGGTGAGAGACCTTGCCTCAATATACATGGCGGAGAGTGATGAAGGAAAACTCAGTGTCAACCTCTGTCCTCCACACACTCACACACATGTGCACACACACTTGCACACACATGAGATCACACACAGTCATGCACACCAAGCACACAGGCAAAAAAGCAATGAAAAAACATGCCTTTAAGAGAGTAAGTACACAGAGAATGGATAAGTGTAAAATGGTCTCCCCCATCTTCAGCAACACGAAGATCAGCCTGAATCAGAAGGGTTTTGGGGAGGGGAGGAATAATGAGAAATTATATTTGATAGCCATGTTGAAAAGTGGAGGGCATTGCAAACAGTAACCGTAGCTTTGATTTGGTGTACATCAGCACATTGTGGGATTCAGAAGCTCTATTAGAAGATGTGGCAGCAATCCAGCTTAAGAGCTAAGTGTTAAAACTACCAGGGCAAGGGCTGGGGTGTGGTTCAGTGACAGAGCATTTTCCTAGAAAGTACAAGGCTCTGGTTCTCATCACCGGCACCACACAAAAGATATGAGCTGCAATACTAGAAAAAAATGAGTTGTGAGTGAACTCACACGTGCATACATACGCATGTATAGAATCTTGAAAAGATCAGAAATGCTTGGTGACACAAGTCCCCATAGTTCATTGCCATATGAGGAGGGGAAGAATTCCCAATACACCTAGATGACTTTACATACGCATTCATTTATTTAATAGAGTAAACTTTCAGGTTAATGATGCGTCACTGAGATGTGACAAGTAAATAGAAAATACAGCCACGTGCTACTTAACAATAGGACACCTGCTAAAAAAGTGTGGCATTATGCTATTTTATGGTTGTGTGAACATCGTGGTGTATTTACATAGGTCTAGATGGTATAGGTCTGTCATTCCAGTTAGGCCCTTGATCCAGTAAAGATGCAATAAATGATAAATACTTGTATAAGGCTACTGCCAGTGTGATACCAGACACTGCTTTACAGTAAATGTTTATATAAGTAAAAGTATACTGTAAACCAAGCACAGAAAGCATTCAATCTCTCAGTAACATGGTAACTTGTTATCATCAGAAAGTATTATATACAGCCATCAGTGATCATTTTACTGTCTGTGGTTAGTTGGACATTTGTGTTCACCAGTATCACCCCAAACACACGAATGATGCATTGTGTCATGATATCAGCGGGGAAATGAGTTTTCCAGCAAAATTATAATGTCTCAGTGCTACCATATTTGCAGTCCACTGTTGAACAAAACATTACACTGCGGGAAGGAAGGAAATCCAAATGAGATAGCCAACTATAAAACTTCAAAATTTTAAATGCTGGCAGGAATAGGAAATGAGCACACCCCACAATTACCAAGTTGAAAAATGCCCAAAAGGCATTAGTTGAAGATAACTTGAAAAGCATTTGTGATCAAGCAAAAAAAAAAAAAATGAAATCTGTGACAGGCAAGACCTTGTCTTTTATTGCTGTTATTGCCATTGTTTTGTAGAAAGGATGGATAACCTGTTTAATTTGGGCAAATGTATTTTAAAAATTTGGGTAGACCAGTGGCATATTTGAGCGAAAAAAAGGAGGGGAAAGTTGCACTTATTGAAACTTAGTCATTATACAGAGATAGGCCTAGAGAAAATGATAGTGTGTGCTGTCTTTTGATATATTAGTTGAATTTATTAATCTTGGTATGTATTCATAAAAAGTGATGCTTTCTGTGTTAGGGATCTTCTCACATATGCTAAAACTTAACTTTGCTATCTGGGCTCTTCCTGGTCAGACTAGCACTTGTCTTTCCTTAGTGCTTTAGGTATCAGAAGCGTATTGAATTTAGTTTTATGATGACACATGAATTTACATTGTGATGATTCATTTGTCATCCATTGTCTAGTCTCTCTATAAAGCATGGATTCAAAAAGACTCAAATGGGAGGGGCTAGGGAAATTGAATGACACCTGTGTCATATTTGAAAGGAGATTAAATGGAACTTTTCCTTTGTTCAGTCTATGTAGGCACAGTACACAGAGACCAAATCTCAATAGTCTGTCAATGATGACGAAGTCACTTGGCATATTGGGCCACAGCATCTCCTGATGTCCCTTCCACTTAAGATCTAAGATTTGCCTTTTGTTTTCATCTCCGGGGACAGCTATGTAAGAGATATTTGCTGATGGATTCTACTGACTGCTTTTTCAATCTTGAAGATTTTTCTGCACTTGCAAAATATAGAATAAGTCCTAATACCTGGTTTATCCATTCAGGGCTTTCCCAGCATCACCTCCTCAGTCAGCCTTCCTGTGCACAGCAAAAAATGTGATTGTTTCATCACCATCATTTCACATTTCCATCCCTAAACAGTTATGTTTCCTCGCCTTTCACCAACACTATTTAACACACTATACCATTCCCTAATCAAATTCATCCATCTTTCTGTCACTAGGATTTGT